TTAAATAAAAGAGCTTTTATTCATGTTACAAGGGAACATGCAAAACTCACACGTACAGATGCATTTCATCTCGTCACGCTACTGCTTAAAATTAGTTACATAGAAATGTCCAATTCTACAATATGTACAGCTTTTAACTGGTTTGATAAAGTGACAGTAAAGTTAGTGAGACATGATTATTTCCAGAGAGCCGTGAGCGGAGTGCAGAAACGATTCCCACTGAACCCAGAGATACAGAAACACACACGAGCTCAGATCTACTGATCAGAAGTGCCCTCAAACGCTACTTTACATTAAAAACTAAACCGGATAAAAGACAAGCAGCCAAGTGCACGTCATTGATATCTGATGATCATATTTACTAAAAGCAACTGTATGGATCATATTATTGCTAGATCTGACAGTAATGTAGCATAAATTAATCTTCATTTCCCTCAGTTCATACGGACTTCAAACCATTTCTGATAAATATGTAAGAAACTTGTGTAATCAGGTCAGTTCACGGAGAATCATGGGAGTATTTGTCAAAGAAAGCGAAGCCGGTTTTTATCGAGACCGCCTGTATTGTGACATGAATTGCTGTAAAATGAGCACATACAGCTCCTCTCAAGTAGAGGAATATTTCAATCTACTGCATTATTCTGGAAAACAAAGATTGATTTAAATCCAAAACCAGCACAATTAATTTTAGTCATTACAGCAATGAGATTCAGGCTAAAACCGCATTAAAAGAGCATCACAATGCAGAGCATCTTACACCGGGCTTCACTGTGTTCAGGTAAAGCATGATTGCTGGCCTGCTCCTGACGGGTCTCTCTGAGATGAAGCAGGTGCTGTGTGACGCTCCGAGCTGAGCAGAAGAACACCAGACTGAGCTCATCGGTGCATCGGTGCATCAGGACTGACCTCAGCACAATACAGCGCCTCCTGCTCCTCAGAGACCTTCAGAGAAAACACACACATGCCATCAACATCTTTTCATTAGGGCTGTCGGTTTAACATGTACATTTGGTGGATTATGTAAGAAATAACCTGTTAAAATGACTGCCTCATTACCGCAGCGCCCCGTTCACAGCTGTCCGTCTTACACTGATTCAGTTACTGATGATCACGGTGTCTATTACAGCGCAGTTAGATGAGCCTAAAGTGAGTCAATGATTCTTTCAGAAAGAGTCACTTGCTTTGTTTCTGAATGAATCAGCTGAATGATTCAATGACTCACTCATTAAGACAGTGACTCACCGCCACCTACTGGCACTTTGTTTCATATTTAATTTTTATAAAAATGTCAATGTTCAATTTAAAATACATGAATGCCCATTTGCTATCATTATTTTTTGTAATGTCTTTTCGATACTTTTTTTCAAAACAACGACTTCAAATGGTCTTTTATGGAACCATTTCTCAGCCAAAACTGATGTGTGATTAATTAGACGAATTAATCAGCACATCATGTAATGAATTAGTGTAAATCTTTCAATCTTTGTATTTTGTGTGCCTCAGTCCTTCAGTGGACTCGTGTGCAGCAGAGGTCGGAATATAACACTCTTAACCAGATTGGGTTCACACACCTCTCTCAGACTCGTCTCCGGGAGTCAGTGCTCGTTTATAACGTCTGCGGGACAGAAAGCTGGGGCGACGGGACGGAGAGGACCCTGCGGATCAGAGGGGACACACAGCGCTCATGAACAGATCCGGAGTCAGAGCAGCTGGATGATGCTGGAGCGGAGCACATACCTGCGGTCTGGAGCGTCTGGAGCGTCTGGGTCACGGCCGGCTGCTGCTGCTGCGGCTGCTGCTGAGAGACACAGCACTCACTTATCTCTGATGCTTCTACACACAGCAACACCTTAATACCACCTTATCTGACATCTAACACCTACACCTGTGCTGGAAATACACATTACATTACATAAATATACGAAATATATCATGTGTTTAATGTACAAAGAAAAGAAAATATCATCGCTGTCATAAATTATATTTATTATTACGATATACAGTGAACTTTTCATATCAGCAGACAATATTCCACATAATATATTTCCACAAATGCACCGCATCACCGAGATTTTTGGTGGTGTAAACTATTTATTCTGAAGCAATATTTTAATCAGCGTTCGATCAGCTTTTACATAACTACTTGTTTACTAACCTAAAATCAATCAATGTGACATCTGCAATCGTGATGATAATATTTAGCAAAATATCTCCTTTGTCCTGGTATGTTACTGAACTATATCATGTTATACATAAACTACACATTTGAATATTTCCCTCAGTGTGTAGTTATATGTAGGGATGCGCCGATCCGATATTCATATCGGGTATCGGCTCCAATAGTGCCATTTTTCTCGGATCGGGTATCGGTCAGAGAAGGCCGATCCAAATCTGAGATTTTTTATTTTTTCTCGATTGTGTGAATTATTCTGTGTTACTTCTGAAGCCATACCATAGCTTAATGTGAGCTATATATGAATATTGAAGTCCTTACGTTAAAGTTCACACAAACTCTTTTCTCCGCTGTGGCTGTCAGTCATTCGTTCAGCTTTAAACCCTGCTCGCGTTCGGTTACAGCAGTCAGCTCGGTAAAGCTCTCTCCAACATCATTCTGTGTTCACATTATACTGGATTTGTAAATACATGTCTATGATTTTGCAAAAAGGACTTTATCTTCTTGCCGGAGTTTAATGTTGTTTTGTTACTTGCTACCGGGTGTCTGTGAGAACAAAACACGGGCGTAGAAAAGACTATAAATAGTTTTTAACGTGCACAGTAACTGAAATGTAAAACTGTTAAAAGAAAGGCTCAATAACTGTTGCACAGATATAATACACTACGCATTAATTTCTCTTCCCTTTGTGCTTTGCAGTTTCTAACACGAAGCGCTTACCGTGCGCACATTGTAAGCGCTTCGTGCTCATAGACTGTAAACCCTCTACATCGTGAGTAAATCACTCGCACATGCGACTAAATCTTCACTCTGGGCGACTACATGATGTCTAATATCAGCCAATGGCTAATCAGTTCTCAGATTTTACTCGCCAGTGTGTGAGTTGGATGCTGAGTATATGATTAGCACAGATATATTTTCACTCACAGAACACTGCTGAACGCTTCAGAGTTTCACTCTCCGTCAAGCGATCTGATATTTCTCAGTTCATCTGAATGGATGCGCAGCACACCTGTGTTTGTGTGTTTGGCGTAACGTAAACTCTAGCGTGAAGCGCACGACTCGCCGTCGCTTTCTCTCACTGTGAGCAAAGAGCGAGAGTCTTACATAACATGCAGAATTGATGCGCTACAT